TTCACCAGTGTTTATTTACTTAAAACTACTGGTATAATATCTTGCTATTATAAAACTAATTCTACTATCATCAAACACATATTTACTTCAAGTTTCAAGCAGAGAATGCATATATAACTAACACGAAGGACTCCTCTCCACTAGATTCACCAGCTATAATATTTTGGTCATGTTCCAATATCATAAATCGATCCCAGTGTTATGTAGTAGAGAAAAAATTACTTATATCCAGTTTACGTAAAGCTACGAGTGGTCGAAACCACACTTAAATCCCGGAATGAACTTACGAAGATTTTTCCACTTAGGGTAGTTAATTGAATACGGACCTAGCCGCCACGAAGGCGCTAAGAAGGAATTCGTTCTTAGCTAAGAGGAAAAACCTTCGTAAGTACCTTCCTGAATCCGGCCCCAGGGATTCTGTCTAACGAAGCTGCAAGCTAAAACACCGTTATCTTATAATGTTCATCTGTAGCTTGACCCTAAATACTCGTTTATTAAACGAATTTATTGTTAGAGTTCATTAGGAATCAACTTCGTTGAAGGCAGAGTTTCCAACACATACCCTCCTGTGATTGGCTGTTGCGGGGAATGCCAACGCTTATATGAATAAAATGCAAAATAAGAAATACGTCCTTTTGCTCAATAACCTTGTTGTTGTACAAAAGAACAACAATTTCTGTTGTATACAAGACAGAAATTTCCATCTAACTAAATAATGTAGACCAATAAGAGGGCGGAGGCATTGTATCGCCGATATTATTTGTGTGAGGCAACTCCCACTGATGACGTCACAAGTTAGGTAGCCAGCCCATGTTTCTGTAACACTCGTTACATCCTGCAGTATTTAATTATCACTTTATAAATACTTTTAAATACTTAACATTTCACTTTTTAGGTAGATTAAAGTTGAAGCAGAATGTCATAAGTAAGGATGGTGTCCTGAATAAATATGATTTATTAAGTGGATGGAGCCTTTAGCTGATCCCTTTCTGTGATTGGCTGTTGTGTGAATGTCAACAAAGAATGTCTACCAATGATATGCCATTTATTATGCACCCCATACCATTTGTGGGCAGAGCTTGGAACTTCCTACCCGAGCACAACAACCCACCTTATGGGTTGCTGTTTGGCTATTTAATAGTGCGTTGGAAAAAAACTAGATGGCGTTAGTTGTTTTTCCAGGGTAATTTGTTATAAGTGTAATTTGATGTCAACAGATGGCGTAAGCTGTATCTTATGGCCACTATTGACCAGCCAGTTGATAGTGTTCTCTTCTGCCGACAGATGGCATCAGCTGTATTATTATTACTTCCGAATTCCCTTTAAACACTGAGCTACAAATCCCTTGGCTTATGATAAGGTTTTATACCATTAATGATAAGTATTAGATAACTGGAGTTCTGCAATTACTTTTATTTATCAACTGTTCAGGATATTATCATATAATGTCTGGTTAGGACGTACTGCTCTCGATTGATGAAGATTAAGCCACCCAAGAGGTGGCACGGGCATGAATAGCCCGTAAATACTGCTCTCGTAATATTATTCACGGGGGGGGGGGGGGTAGGGGAACTATCAAGTGAAAGCGCCAAGCCATTACGACTATATAGCAATCGGAAGGGATCAGGATACGGATTTGGGATGGAACGGGGGAAAGGAATGGTGCCCAACCTCTTGGGCGGTCGGGGATTGAACGCGGACCTGTAGGAAAGGAGACCGTCGCTCTACCGTCAAACCCAAGTGGTTAAGCGTAATATTATTAAAACAACAATTTATGCATATAATAGCAGCATTTCACACTATAAATACTTGGGTATATTGAAATTTGGTAGTGAATTCCAATCTAGGAATCTCCTATGACTAAACTGTACTTTTTAATTATTTTTATGTACTTACTACTTATTATTAAATTATTAAGTGCTTATTATAATAATTAAATAAATTATTTTATTTAATATTTAAATTAATTGATAAAATAATAGGTAATAATAAATCATTGTGTAGAGGGACAGGCAGTCAGTGTATATATACATGTTAGGCTTATACCAAGGTCCCACAAAGGTGCCACAAAGGTGCCAAATTAAAGACTGGGTGCTGCCGGGGCGGGTCCAAGGGCTGCTGGCGGCCCTGGCCAGGCTGAACTTCCGCGCCCTTATAATCACCATTGTTTAATAATCTTCACAGGGAGAAACAACTGTAAATATAGGAATAGTTTATTACAACATACACGGTAAAGAAAACAGCTCGGAAACTAAGGAAATAAAGCTGCCGAAAAAACATTAAAGTCCATTTCAAGTTCAAGTATGTTTATTGTCGGTTCGTTCATGCTAGGCTTGCAGTTACACAACTGGTCGGGGTCCGCTTACACAACTGGTCGGGGTTCGGGGTGCACAACAAACTACCACTCACTGGTTGAATAGGAGATGCTTAATGAACTATCCACCTCTGGCGGCAAAAAATCAACATATATATATATATATATATATATATATATATATATATATATATATATATATATATATATATATATATATATATATATATATATATATATATATATATATATATATATGTCGTACCTAGTAGCCAGAACGCACTTCTCAGCCTACTATGCAAGGCCCGATTTGCCTAATAAGCCAAGTTTTCATGAATTGATGTTTTTTTCGACTACCTAACCTAGCTAACCTAACTTTTTCGGCTACCTTACCTAACCTAACCTTTAAAGATAGGTTAGGTTAGGTTAGGTAGGGTTGGTTAGGTTCCGTCATATATCTACGTTTATTTTAACTCCAATAAAAAAAAATTGTCCTCATACATAATGAAATGGGTAGCTTTATCATTTCATAAGGAAAAAATTAGAGAAAATATATTAATTCATGAAAACTTGGCTTATTAGGCAAATCGGGCCTTGCATAGTAGGCTGAGAAGTGCGTTCTGGCTACTAGGTACGACATATATATATATATATATATATATATATATATATATATATATATATATATATATATATATATATATATATATATGCAGAATAACCACATATGAAAAATAGAAAATGCTTAACGCGTTTTCGGCTAATTCGCCTTCATCAGAGCAAAGTAGAATACTACTTTGAGCACAGAGCAAATTCTACTTTGCTCTGATGAAGGCGAATTAGCCGAAAACGCGTTAAGCATTTTCTATTTTTCATATGTGGTTATTCTGCATACTTGATCAGTGTTTTTGTGATCATTGTTGCATATATATATATATATATATATATATATATATATATATATATATATATATATATATATATATATATATATATGTGTGTGTGTGTGCAGAAATAATATTAATAAAACAATTAACATCGTGTAGTGTACTCTGTATATCAAAATATATTACTTTGATACCCATATCAATCACTAAAAAAAATTGGGCTACTCTTATTACAAATCCGTTACTTTTAGACCGTCAGCTCGCTACTTTCCGCAATTTAGATCTGGCAACCATGCACGGCTCTGGAATCCATGCATTTTATTTGCAAATGTGAAGGAATTAGCATTGTTAGCGGCGGTGTTCGGTTGGGGTTGTCTGTGCACGCGTTGCTTGAGTAAACAAACAATTGTGTATCCACTTACGAAACCTGTACATTATTCTCGACCATGGCGGATTAGTTTCTATTTATTAAACAGTCTATTAGGTGTATAGAGCTACGAGGTTGTCTATGACAATAATACCTTGGGCCGAGGACGACCCGCAGTGTTGCCAAGCTCGTAATCTTTTTAGTCAATACAAACCAAGCCGCCATGATATAGGAAAGATGTACAGGTTTCGTAAGTGGACACTTAAGTACTTGATCTATCCTGGCATTGTTTATTTACTAGTACAGTGTAGGTCACGTGGTCAATGTGAGGTGTTCTCTGTCCACTTTGTCTATTCTTCTCAAGACCTTGTATATTGTTATCATATCCCATCTGTTTCTTATTCTCTCCTTTAAGGTCGTCAGGGGGAATTCACTCAACCAGTTCTGAACCCGTCTTCAGACCAAGTCCATTACATCCAGCGGTCGACCCCCACAGACGCAGTCGTAAATTTGTTCATGATGTTCATTCAAAACAGGAATGTTCTCAAATCTAAATTAATTTACATTTACAGCGTTGTGGTTCGAACAAAATTCGTCAGTGAAGCACTTGTTCCGGAAGTGTTCGAACGTCAACAGTTGTGAGTCGTGTGTAAACCGTTTTTCATTCATAAACAGCTGGGTTTGGCGGGTGCATGGAATGAAATTTGGCCTTTGTTTATGATGACGATCTGTAAAAACCACATACTCGGTAATTCAGCCAGCCTGTCCTCCAAACAAAGACCCAAAAGTGATTCCACCCACCCGCCAAACCCCCAGCTGTTTATGGATGAAAAACGGTTTACACACGACTCACAACTGTTGACGTCCGAACACTTCCGGAACAAGTGCAAATATGAGAAATTTCCTGCTTTGAATGAACAGCATGTTAAAATTATGAATGCGTTTTTGGGGTCGACAGCTGGATGGAATAGAATTGGTCTGACGACGGGTTTGGTCTTACATAGATAGTGATAGTCAAATGATGGTCTTACGTAGAGAGTATGTATGGACTTGAAAACCTCCTTGTTTATTTTCTTAAATTGAAATTGAAACTGAAATAAGTTTGTTGAGGTAAAATACACACAAAGGGATGAGGTAGCTCAAGCTATTCTCACCCCGTTCAGCACATCGTGTTAATACATACATAGACACACATCACAAACAATAAACATTTTACCAAATTTTCTTAAATGATGTTCTTATGTTTACTAACTTCCTTACTAATGTTTACTTATGTTCACTAAATTAACTTTAGTTAATATGTAAAAATATTAACTAAACGTTAATATTTGTACATATTTTTACACCAAACAATGCTTGCTAGATGGGTAATTAGGGTAGCTCAGAGTCAACGGTGGGTGGAGGGCTTTGTTGACATTTTGGTAGACAAACCGTCAGACAGCCGTCGACCGCGTAGGGGGGTGGCGCCTTCCTTATTTATTCGTGATATAACCCATCTATAGTGCGCTACAGGGAGAGATACGCACGGTGAAGTGTCCCTATTTCTCGGTGTATATACGCTAAGTCTCTAGTGTCTCTGTATATATTGTGGAGTGTGTTTAGCCACAGACAATGTCCGGGGCTGTAGTAGGGCTGGACCGCGGCAGGTAGCCTCGTCCCGGGCGACTGTGACAGGATTAACGGGCCCGTGGAGGATTTACAGGGCCGTGGAGGATTAACAGGACTATGGGGGGATTAACCACCACCAACTTCGCCGCATTTCTCATTTACCAAGTAAGGTGTGTAAATTTGGCTGGTAAATTACTATGTATTTGAATGTGGAGGTTAAAATCTCGGGACATTTAAAATCCCCGGACAGATAAGTTCTTGTCGCAAAATTCTGGTTCACAGTTGCTGGCCAAGTTGATATGCACATCGTAACAATTTATTAAGGGAGGGAATATATATATATATATATATATATATATATATATATATATATATATATATATATATATATATATATATATATATATTATATATTATATAATATATAATATATAATATAATTTATAATATAATATATAATATAATATATAATATAATATATAATTGCCGCGTATAATATATAATTAATTATATAAAAAATTATATATTATAATATATATATTATAATATATAATGCCGCGGCTCCGGCACAGCAGGAGCTGCGGCGACACGCAGAGAAAGAGACAAGTCAGCCAAGTACAGGCAATTAGATCATCGGTACAACTTCGTTCCAATAGGGTCTGAGACCCTAGGCCCATGGGGAGAGAGTGCAAGAAGGTTTCTTAAGGATCTTGGTTCCAAGCTCATTGACACCACAAGAGACCCTAGAGCAGCAAGTTTTCTCTTTCAGCGCCTCAGTGTCGCGATCCAGAGGGGGAATGCTCGCTGTATCCTCGGTTCATGCCCGGCGTCGGAGGAGTTCGAGGAAATCTACAGCCTCTAGGAAACGAACTTTTTTTTTGTGTCCTCTTAATGTTAATTTTTTGTATAAAATCAGATATGTAACTGTATAACCTTGCATAATAAAGTGTACACTATATATATATATATATATATATATATATATATATATATATATATATATATATATATATATATATATATATATATATATGTATATATATATATGTATATATGTATGTATATATATGTATATATGTATGTATATATATGTATGTATATATATGTATATATGTATGTATATATATGTATATATGTATGTATATATATGTATATATATATATATATATATATATATATATGTATATATATATGTATATGTATATATATATATATATATATATATGTATATGTATATATATATATATATATATATATATATATATATATATATATATATATATATATATATATATATATATATATATATATAATGTATATGCAAACAAGCCTGAATGGTCCCCAGGACTATATACAACTGAAAACTCACACCTCAGAAGTGACTCGAACCCATACTGCCAGGAGCAACGCAACTAGTATGTACAGAGACGCCTTAATCCGCTTGACTATCACGACCGGACATAAGGAAGTGATAGCCAAAGCTATTTGAACCACTTCCCCGCCGGCACTCGGATGGTAATCTTGGGCATAGCATTTTATCAAATCAAATAATGTATATATATATATATATATATATATATATATGTATATATATATATATATATATATATATGTATATATGTATATATATATATATATATATATATGTATATATATATATGTATATATATATATATATATATATATATATATATGTATATATATATATATATGTATATATGTATATATATATATATATATATATATATATATATATATATATATATATATATATATATATATATATATATATATATATATATATATATATATGTATATATATATATGTATATATATATATATATATATATATATATATATATATATGTATATATATATATATATATATATATATATATATGTATATATATATATATGTATATATATATGTATATATATATGTATATATATATATATATATATATATATATATATATATATATATATATATATATATATATATATATAATATTTTTAGGAACATATAATAAAATATAATATATAATATATAATATAATAATATAATGTAATGTTACTGGCGTGTATATACATAAACGCCGGTAACTCGTATGTAATATTATAACCGGGAACATATATGTAATATATAATATATATGAACATTTCTTGTCTCAATCGTTGAATTATGTTGCCTATTGCGGCTCTGACGGTCCAGGTGCTGGTGTCTTCCTCCACGAGTGTGAGGGATAGTGATTGAGAGGTGTTGTAATGAAGCACCTGGCGCGTGTGAGAATATATGGTGCTTGTGTGAGCATATATGGGGCGCGAGTTAGAATATATTGGACTTGTGGGAAATATTTCCTATCGATAAGCATAATCGAATAATAAATTCATCCAAAAGAAATAATTATGAGGACTGTTCTTAACTTGAATTAAAATGTGCAGATGGGCTGAGAGAATATTTGTGAGGTCAACCAGCTCCACGTCACTACTTCTTTTCTTCAATCTGATATGAATGCTTCAATCTCCAGGTTTCTTTATTTCCAGGATGATCTCCTGCTATAATGTTATTGTTTACTATTCTCCATTTTAAACTGGGTAGATTGAAGTCTCCAAAAAAAGATATCTGGTATTGGGTTAAGAATGTAAGAACAAAGGTAACTGCGGAAGGTCTATTGGCCCAATCTCAACACCATCTAACTCGTATCTTGTAACTCTATCATCATTACCTAGCCTCAAAATATTACATTTATCAGCATTAAACTGCATCTGCCAATCTTTTGACCATTTCGAAACCGTATTTAGATCGACTTGAAGTGATAGTGAGTCTTCCGTGTTAATTTCCCTATCGATTTTTGTATCATCGGCAAATTTGCAAATGTTGATACTCAGACCTGAATCTAAATCAGTAATAAATATTATAAACATCAGAGGGCCCAGGACAGAGCCTTGAGGCACTCCACTTGCAACATTATTCCACTCTGACTTAACCCCATTTATACTGTTTCCTTTGGTATTGCCATGCCCTAATTCAACTTAATATAGCACCCCCAATACCATGAGCCTCTATCTTTTTAATCAGTCTTTCATGTGGCATTGTATCAAAAGCTTTGCTGAAGTTAAGGTACACAACATCACAATCCTTACCACTATCAACTGCCTCAACTATGCTGGAATAAAAAGATAGCAAATTTGTTAAACATGAACGGCCATTTGTAAAACTGTTGCGAATCATTTATTAACTTAGGTTTTTCAAGATGAAGACGAATTTTATTTGCAATTATCGATTCAAGTAACTTTCCCACAGTTACTTTCCCACAATTACAGTTTCCCACGGCTTGCTAGGGTTTGCTGAGTTTTCAGTAATTGATGTAAATCTCTTAAATCCCGATAATGAACTAAGGTTCGCAGATTAAATTCGATACCTTATAAATCAAATTAATCTATTTAATTCAAACTCTGTAACAATTCGATTTTAAGGACTCGACTCTCACTTATAATGTGGACGCAGGCGGAGCACTTATGATCTGGACGCAATTATTAACAATTAATAATTGTTAATGTTACATATTAATAATATTAATATTATTAATATTAATTACAATAATATTTTTATATAAAGTGATTCAACAAGAGGCTCACAACAGTCTGTTAGCAGACTGTCTCAACGGCTCTGTTGGGATCGAGGCGTATTATCCAGCTCTCAGTTTATTGATGTGATCTGATTGTTAGTGGGAGTTAGTGATATGCTGAGGCTGGGCGTGTGAGTGGCTAAGCACCAGGAGGCTTACAACGCCATGACTCTAATTGATCTGTGGATCACAGTGAGATCACCCCGTCTACGGCTTACACACACACACACTGAGACACGTAGAGGGGGTGGACACCATTGCCCCCCCCCCCGACCCATCCCAAATCCTTATCCTAACCCATATAGTCGTATTGGCTTGGCGGTGTTCCCTGATAGTTCCCTGCCCCACTTCCCACTCCCTCTTAACCTATACCCCTGGCGGGCTTTCTCACTACTACTGTAAGGAGTCCTCTCACCGGCCAAGAAAGCTGTTTTAACATCACATTTCAGATCGTATAGCATATTAATTTCAATTTTAATTTCTTAATTATAACTGAGTTTATTCGTGTGGTCGTATGGCTTGTGGTCGCGTGTCGGAACTTTGGCTGTGAAGTGTGATTATGTCTGCAGTCACAATAGCTTCAGGATTGAATTCAGAGCAGCAGTAGTTGAGACGTAATTCAAACACGGTCACCAATACTCTGCAAGACCTGAATTTATTAACCAACATTATAATTAACTCCACCGTGGGAGCTGTGGAGAGTTATATTAGCCAAGGTTATCGAGTCCACTCAACGTTGGTGACAATAACCAATAATGTACAGGCCACTGGAATTTAAAGATAAATACTTATCCACATAACCCCACAGGGCTTGTGTGTGGGGGGGGGGGGGGGCGGAGACCGAGCAGTGTGGGGGGGGGGAAGGGGGGGAGACCGTAAGTCATGTGTCGTCTTTAAGGCAACAGGTGGTGGCAAGCGACCAAATTGTCGGAAAATCCGACACCATTTAATAATCATACAGATAATAGCTGTATTACCAACAAGTTACCCATAGAAAACGTAACTTGTAGTGGAATTACCGTCTATAGAAAACGGGATATCATCACCACATACCATTATAATTCACCAGCTATTCTGCTGGGAATTATTCTTAAATACATTAGTCTTTGGACTTTACCATCATAAAAACATCTTATATAAATTAACTTAATTATCAATATTAAAGTAGAGTAAATGTGACCCTTCTATCACGTTCTGAAATCTGGACAATGTAAGCCAGGCGTCAGAGTGGAGGAGGAGGGCAGCCATTGTTGTTATACGAGACCAGAGGCTCACACGGGAGCAAATTCGGCTCCTGTTAAATTTACTTGGACGTAGTGTTATGGAAACCAAAGGTACCATTGTCAACACGCTGTCTACAGATACAAGTTAAGTGTCTATCCGAAACCCGTTTATCATTCATTTATGGCCATTAATGTCAGGATATAGGGTTAGCCGGTTAGAACGCGAAATCGCCTCAAACTAAAGGTAATTAAGCCAGGTCTCAATGTTCCATATAGTGTTTTCTCTGAAATACTTGTCATATACTAGGTTTCTGGCTT